TAACACAAAACTAGACTAGTGTGTACTATCCACATAGAGGGAGAAGAGGGAAAAAACCGACTACTACAACAACAACGGAGAAATGATAATTTCTTGACAAGAGTCAATAGTTGCAAACGCTTTAGAAGTCTCGTTTCAAGTACTTTTACACAATTCTACCGAATTCGGTAGATTTTAACGATATAGCCACCATTACGAGTGGTGCGATGGTCGATATGTATGAACTGCCACTGCTATTTGTGTCTATATATCCTCGACCTCGGCCTTATTCGATCGAAATGATAACGTGCTAGAGACGTGTACAAAATCTAAAGGGGAACAGAAAAAGAAGACAAAAAAAAATTGAACCAACAACATTTAAGGTAAGCATTTGAGGGATAATGCTCCAAATTAGAGTGTAAATTTTCCATCTATTTTCATCGGTATTGCTAATAGCACTAGTACATCGCCAACGAAACGACCTTTTTGTTGAGTATTCCACTCACTCAAACATTCATATATATATACATATATATGCCTCTGTATTCATTCCCCATCTACTCTCTCTATATCTTGGTTCCTCTCTTGCTTGGGTCTCGGCTTCGTGCGATCCATTTATTTTGGTTAAAACATTAATAACAAATGGATTAACACAGAAAAACTATAATGTTGACATTTTAAATGTGATAATCCATAGACGTATCCCTGTGCTTTCCAGCATCTAGCCCACCACTGACCCATATCGCACACATACACAGACACACACACATAGGCGCGTACATACCGTTCATGTCGTAATCTTTCATCTAATTTCGGTCGGACGACCGGGTGTTACAGATAGAGCGAGTGAGGAAAACTATTTTTTAGGCAAACGGAAGATGGAATCTACGGTGAAAATTACCCGCCCAAATGTGACCACATGCACCATATGATTTATGGCATCATTCGTATAGTCCAAATGGAACCATTTCCTAAGTCCATTCGACAAAAATTGTGCAATTACGCAGTGTTTTAAAATAAACCACTCACTAAATTGGATTATTATGTATTGCAATTGCAATTTTAAGTATGGCCATGGCAACAGCAAAGCATCGAAAGAAAGCACTGTGGCCATGTCGGACGCTTTGAACACATCCAACATTTAAGAGCGCCATTTTATCCAGTTTGCAGTTTTTCAATTCTCACCGGGCTATATTTCCTGAGACATTAATGGAAAAAAAGCGAAACAGTAAATTGTGAGATGTGCTGATATTAAATACTTGCATATTTCAACGATAGTTTATTGTATCTAACTAGACGAAAGATACGAAAACTTTTAATTTGATTATGCGCTAATTTTACCTCCTGCAACTTCGTTTCGTACTCTCAAGAGTTTTGCTCATTGTTAGGTTGCCGTTGCCGTTGTCCCATACTATCTTTACGCGTATTCTCTTGCACAAATTATTTTTTATTTAGATTTAAGTAAACTTTCCAAAACAAATTCAATCAAAAGGGATACAAAGCGCCAACATTCAGGCAAAAACAATTTCAACCAGCTCAACAAAGATACTCCAGAGGAAGGAGATGTGAGAGAAAAAAAAAACGAGCACGCAGACATCATCCCAAACACAAAATGGATTTTTTTGCCGAGCGGAGTTTTTGAGTGAATGCAACTTTGCCAAAAGTTCAAATCTTCAAGAAAACGTTTCAACGAAAAAAACAGCAGCAGCAGAAATAACAACAACAAAACAAACGATGAAATTCAAAAGTTCAAATGCACTATTGCCAAATCTTACGATGAATTTGTGTTCAGTGTGCCTTTTTACTTCTTCGTCTGCTCAACTGTCGGTGTGTTGTTTGCAAATTTAAGTCGAAAACAAGAAGTGAGAAACAAGAAGAATGAAAAAGAAGCGACAACATCGACTAAAACACATGCTGTGAGGCACTTAGACAGTGTTAAAGTTAATTATATTTTTAAGAGCTCTGTCCCAGCAATTTGAGAGAACGGCGAATGAGCGCAACACTTACATTTGGCATAATGGCAACATAAACACATAAAACAGACAGCTTTATAAGTACGAATTATGTATGTATTTTATGATGAACATAGTCGAGAACAGATGTTTGCATAGGGGCTCACATTTTCTCGCTGCCTCTTTATATCTGCCTCTCTCTCTTCCACTCTCTCTCTCTCTCTCCCTCGCGCTCTCTTTCACTCTTTCTCTGTCTCTAGCTGGTTCTCGTCACGATGCTTTTCCGACACGCAGTTTTTTTTGTCCTTCAAAAACGAACAAAGAACAAAAAAAATCTTCCTTTTTCTTGTCGTGCCTTCATACTCATTTATTTATTTATTCATTTATTTTTTCAGTGTGTCGTATTTAGGCAGTGACTGAGAATGAGAGAGTGTATGAGTGTGTGTGTGTGTGTGTGCGCAAGTGAGTGAACAAGGGGATGAAGAGCCAAAAAGCGCTCCGAAAACCCTTTTCCGTTTGAGTAAACAACTAACGGTGTGCAGCATGCGAATATTGTGTAGACCACAAACGCTGAAATGGTTAATAGCATAGACGAAAATGGAGAGGAGCAGCCTTAAAAGGAGCAGTAATGGCAAACAATGCCGACGAATATGAGCATAAGAAGAAAAACAAGTGGAAAAATTGAGACAGAACTCTGAGTAAATGTCGAAACAAGCACAAAAAACAGCAAGACCAGAGAGTGTGGAGAGGAAAAATCCAGTACATACACAACGACAACAACAAAGAGGAACATAACGACAGCAAGCAATCAATTCGACCAGCCGAAGTATTCTTTATTTTCATAAAAAGCACACTTTGCAGTCATAATGGGCAATTTTTGAACACTCCACATTTACATATTGCATAAATATGAGCGCATGTAATGCAGACGATACAACGATCACACAAACACATCCACACACCCGGCCTGACCTACCAACATTTACCATATTCGGGCTCTCTAACGAGAATACAACGCATGGAACAACCCCGTGCAATATATGCCGTTTTGATCGAATTGAAAAACCAGAAAACACATACCCACGCACGCACACACACACACACATGCTCTTTTTACCGTTCACCACTACTCGGTCGGTATTTAAATGAAGTGTAAATAATATTCACACATCAAATACACATGTTTGTTTTGTAGTTTATTGTGTTTGAAACGGTTATTGTTGCTCCACGCTACCAAACACACTCACATTTCTCTCTTGTGAGTGAGATAAAGAGGAAAAAATGGAAAAAAATAGAACAAACTGATCGAAAAAAGTAAGCGATAGAGAGTGGATGAATGAGGCTCTCAAAAACATCAAAAAGAACAAATCATTAAAAGTGATATTGATTGAGATTGCTTTGGCGAGAGTGTATCGCAATTTAGTGGATTGATGAATTTATTTTTTCATTTGTATGCAAAGCACACGATGCGAACAATCAATTTCTCAACGAATTAATTTGCAATCGATTCGCAGCCAGACTGACTTAATTCCAACAAAAACGAAAGTCGGCTTGCGGGCTTGTCATAATTTATAGCTTCTGCGTCTGCAACAGAATTGATGTTTTATGCTTAGTGTCGCATACACACATACACGCAAACACGGCAAAGAGGCTTGCAGGGTAAAGCATTTCGTATCGAATGGTGAAGTAGGCCACGATTTGCTAGTAATTAGCATTAATTTCGAGAGACACCACTTTCATTTTGGTTTGAACTATAAATTTTGATTAGGCGAGTCATTGTGAAATTTTCATTTTCAAACAAAGTGAATTGTGTTTCCTTGGAACCGAATCGAATGAATCGAGAGCACAGTGAGCTTTTTTCTTCCCTCGGTTGCCAAAATGAAGATATCCCGAAAATCGAAATACAAATTTGAATATGGAAAAAGAGAGAAAATCGATTGGTTGAAACAAGCGAAACCGAAATGCGCCAAAACCACCTCAAAATCTATAAAGAGAGCTCGGATTCATTGACCTTCACCGATTTTTCTCATCCACTATCCTTTCATCGTAGAAATATATTCCCTACTACGAAATCCTTTGACGTCTATCTCTCGTTCTCTTGCGCTCTTGTTCCCTTTCCACCTTTGCGAGCAATCGTCAGTTTCGTCGTTACACATGCCCGTAATTTTGTTGTTGTAGTTTGAAGGTTACGCGATGCACACAAATAGGGCTTTTGAATAAACATGAATTTGAAATGACTTGTACAAATTTGCACTGGCCATAAAAACCAAACAATGGATTTTGTCTCTCTTTTCATTGCTCTCATTTCACAGTCTATATACGATAATTCGTTTTTTTTTCTTCGGTTCTTTGTTTAAAAAATGCATCAGCTATAATTTATAATAGTTGCTGGCATTATCGTGATATCGACAATGGACGACCATTGAAGATCTATTGTGAGAGAGTGAGAGAAAGTGGAGCAGCATGTGAAGACCGGAATGGAATGAATTAGGCATATTTTGTGGTAGTTTGACATTTGAGCATAACCAATTCCATTTCGGTAGCTTGCAACTGCATCGATTTTCCATTTTCGATAGCATAATAAATTTGCTTTGTTTAGATCATTATCGCAGGCTTTTTTTTCTGTCTCGGTTTCGGTTCAATTTGCTTTTGTGTTTCTTCAGCATGATATAATGCCACGAAAGACGTTCCACTTCGTGCAGCTCGTACGGATTTAATCGAATTTATTTTTGGGTGAGCTTTGCCTCCACTCCCCTTTCCTCTACATTCTTCATAATCATCGCACGCCACCGCCGTCGCCGTCACTGCTACTTTTGAATGCGAATCATTGGTGAACAGTTCAGGGTGTTCTCTTTTTTTCATATTCTGTTCGGTTTCCCCGTTTACACAGAGAGAACCTCGTCGTGGCACTTGATAATTTTCCGCCGTTTTAACAATCGTTCAACGTGTGTTGTTGCAAGAACGAATAATTTAAAGCGATAAAAATCGATGAATTTTATTTAGTACAATGCCGAAAGCAGTTTCCACTTCATTATCACAACACACAATCAGAAGGCATTATAGACTTACCGTTGCACACAATATGGTTTTAATTTTATTCCTGAAAATAAAGAGAGAAAGAGAGGTCATTGAGTGTGTGTGTATACTGTATATGTATGGGTATATTTACAAACAAAAAATACACTCCGAAACTGAAGCGGCAAAAGTATACATAGAAATATCAACATATGCAAACTATAAAATGAATTAATTGTCGGAAATGAAATAACAATTTTACATTTTGTGTGTGGAAAAATGGGCAAAAAGGCAACAATTTCCAAAACTGAATTAATGAGCATTGAGCAGCAGTGCCAACTGTTGTATGCGTGCGTCGTGTGCATGATATTCTCAACCGAACCGAATCGATTTCATTTGACACGCCAATTCACGGGTGCATTCAAAATATACCGTTCAAAAAAAATAAACGCATTGTATTTCATATTGTTTTTTTTTTTCAATTTCATTTTTTCACTCCTCTCTCTCTCTCTCTCTCTCTCTCCGATGATAATATGAATGCAATCATTTGGATTTGCAATTAAAAAATGCCACTTTTCCATCCATGCAGCAAAAAAAAACGCACGTTCGAAATTCTTGCGAACAAAAGTCCGAAAAATTAATTTGCGTTTATCACTTTTCATATGTACGTTAAAACGGTATTTTAATTCATTTACGGACTAAATCGTATTTATCATAAATTAAATAATTTGCATATGGCCGGCCATTTCTTCTGGCTAAATGTATTTAAAGCGAGAGAGAGAGAGAGAGACGGAATGAGATAGGGAGGTAGAAATTCACCAGATTGGTTGTCCGAAGAAAAAAACATTTTCCACTACGAATTGAATCATTGAAAAAGCTCGAAAAAAGCAATACGATATTTATGTGTGTTTTTCTTCTTTCGAACAAAAAAAACGAATGCTTTTGGAAAATTGAATGTATAAATTCATACACACGAATACACACATATTATTTCGGCCGAAAAAAATAGTCGAATGTTATACGTCACTTGTAGGCTGGAATATATATATAATTTAATAAAGTTGTACATGTTCGAGCAGTTTGAGTGTGTGACGACATTGTTCAGGATTTGATTTGGATTATTCAAAAAAGCGATGTGGATTTTTTGTATTAACAAAAAATACAGCGTCAGTATGCTTCACCACACATTCGGCAATGGAATCGTACAATAGCCCAGAGAATGAGGCAAAGATAGAGTTCGAGCGAGAGGGTGGGCGAGGAAAAAAGTGCGAAAGAGAGAGAAAAAAAATCGACAAAAAAATAATGGAATTTTTGGTTGTTGTTCCTGGGGCCTGTTCACAAACGTTAAATGCAACAAACGCTATTGTTCACTTGAATCGGTTGTCGGCCGCGTAGTACCATGAATAAAATAATTGTCCAAAATAAACTAGCGCTCAAGTCCGATTACAACAATTTTGACAGAGACGAGAAAAAAAGCCCCGAAAACCGAATTTGAGAGCGAGAGAAAGTACGTGTGAACCGAAAATTCATGTGGTGTGTGCCTGTACGCAGTGAGAAAAAAAACTCTAACGACAGCTAAACATATGAAGATTGACGTTACACGTAGGGAATAAAAACAGACGAAAACCTGATGGCGGAAAGCAGCCGCCGCCACCGTCGTCGTAGCATCAACAGCAGAAGTAATAGCGGAAAGAAGAGCTTTTCCTTTTTTGAAATAAGGATAAGGAATTTATGGGCCACACGAAGTTCAGCGCAAGTAATCGTAGGTATAAATAAATACTGTTAAGTGAAATGCTTGTTGTTGCGGTTGAGTCAGAGCATTCTTCGGAAATCCACACGGAATTTCGAATGCATGAGCATCCTCTACATTTTACACAAGTGAGACAAAGAGAGAGAGAGAGAGAGAGAGAGAGAGAGAGAGAGAGAGAGAGAGA